GACCCACTCCGAGCGACCAGTGGCGGCTCGCGCACCACCACGACCGGAGAAGACGGCGAGCATGGGGGTTGCCGCCGTTGAGTCGGGAGACGAACCAGGATTTTCAAGTTTTTGGGGCTCATATATATGGACGTGGCAAATGACCACGTCTCTGGGGAAAAGGCGGTCGTGCAATAAATATGTCTGTCATCGGCCCTCCGAGTAATGAACGCGTGAGTGAGTTGGAATGAGGCGACACGGGTGCTATCTGTATTCTGTAGTCAAACCAAGAGCTCAAGTTAGGAGGGTGCTCGGTAACTGCTTTGTGCCCATAGGGGTACCATGGGTGTTGAGAACAGACGCGCCGCTATGTCTCAGCCTTTACCGAGTACCATGCATTGTGTTTGGACATGAAGATATGCACAAACATTACGGAGTACAGAGCATGGCCTAGTTGGCTCGAGTTTCTTGGCTCGTTTGGCCATAAGAGACTCTGGGAATAGCAATATCAACCTAGAAACGTGAGCAGAGAGGCATTAAACAAAGGACATGGGACAAGCCTCGATGGCTGTTCCCCAGAAAATACTCTGCCCGTACTCCGTTCTTGGCTACAGCCTGCGAACCAAGCTCATTGACGGCGCAACACTCCAGCTAGTACGCCTGGCAAGTCCTCGGCATCGACTCAACAAACAAAGTCATGTCGCAACTGCAAACTTCCATCATGTGAAACAGAGCCCCAGGGAGGTCATGGCTGGCTACAACACTGGATGCTCAAAGGCTTGAGCTGATCTCATACACTACCCATTGCGCGTTTCGTGAAAGAGCCGGGCTCTGTTGAGACCTGGACTGATGTGGTGGTGGACGGCGTCGGCGGCAAAACTCTGCATGGCTGTCATGGCTGACACGGCTATCACGGCCTGGAAGATCCAGAAGACCAAGCTTCTTCCGGAGAAGGCAAGTTCTGCCATTATTGCTGCTGGCTCTCCTTCTCCGGACCAGAACGCCAATTCGCCAAAACAACCTGGTGATGGCTTTCAACAGAGCTCCACCGAGTGGCCCCGGGACGGCCGAATCCATAGAAACGCCAGAAAAGAAAATTGGGGGGGCTCCGTTTCGTCCGCGGGCCCATGCCCCCAAGTCCATGATTTGTTTTGGTCTTTGGCCCTGCGTAATTATCGTGGAAGGCTCGGACACACCATCGGCGTTTGGATGTCGCCATCAACTTCGCGCTCCGGCCGACAGTCTCAGTTCTGAGGTACCAAGGTACTTGTGTGTGCCTTGCTCTTGCCCATTTTAGTTCCCGATAACTAGTAGTTGCCAGCCTTGGGGCGCATTAGCAATGACCTCATAATTACCCGCAACCTCGCAGGTCCAACCGTTGTCGGCCGGCATATATCAATCAAACCCAGCATTCGAACTTCAAGCAACAGCCAAGTGTGTACGGAGTATTCAGTCATTGTCACCATGCGCCGCTGCCCAGGTTCCCTCCCACCACGACGATAAATTCCCTACATTCCAAATCCCAATGGCAGTTTACATTCAATCAAACTTGACAGCTAGGCTGACGACAGCATGTCAAAACTCCAAAATGGCGACGTGCATTCTCCGATGGAGATGGTTAAATAAATTTAATTACTGGCTCACTTAGCCCGCCTTCAAACAATGAGAAACGATAGCCACGAGAAAATTTTTTGGCATCCATTCCACTCGAACTCACAAACCGCAATTCATCACTCGGCCGAAAAGACACAAGTCATCGACAGTACAAATATACAGTGCCATACAAAGCACACTGTACGTCGGCCATTCGTCTTGCGCCGACCGGTCACAAGGTGAGGAGAATGCAAGTGACGTAGCAGAAGCAGCACCTTAATACACCAGAAATCGTAGTGAATTTTTGCATCGACGCACTGATACTTTTTGCTGTCTGCGTGCCGTCCTTTGTATTGAAATTTGTTGAACTTAACCGCGAGAGCCTCCCGTCGTGCCATTCGAATGGCGTCGTGGCTGGCCCATCTGCGTCGTGTGAACGCTCACAATGTCTCGACCTTTCGACGCGCGCCGCTAGCCGAGATCTCAGGATCCCTTGGTGATCTCGGCACTCTCTTGCCACTCATGATTGCTTTGGCAGTGCAAGGATCGGTGCATTTGGGCTCGACGCTGGTGTTTTCGGGGGCATTTAATATCATCACTGGCGTTGCGTATGGCATCCCTCTACCAGTTCAACCCATGAAGGTACAGTTATCGCTACCCACCAACAATTTCACATCATACGTGAATACGACTAAAATTTCTCCCCACTGCAGGCTATTGCTTCAGCAGCCATTTCCAGTGGAGAAGATGCACCAATGGAAGCTGTAGTCGCGGCAGGCCAGTGGGTGGGAGCTGCCGTGCTGGTCATGAGCGTCACAGGTCTTCTGCGATGGGCCGTATCCGTTGTTCCGATTCCCGTTGTCAAAGGCATCCAACTAGGAGCCGGCTTGTCTCTCATCATCGGTGCCGGTACCTCGCTTCTCCAACCACTACACTGGATATATCCTGTTCTGGACAATAGAATCTGGGCATTATTCGCATTTCTTGTCCTCATTGTCACCCAGCGCCTCCCCAGGTTTCCCTACGCCTTCGCCTTCTTCATCTTGGCCATCGTCTTTGCCATAGTTACAGTCCTCACTACTCATCATCGACTGCCCTCGTTCCATGTCTGGCATCCCCATTTGATCCTGCCAAGATGGATTGGTCCACACGGCGATGCCCCAGCCCTTTGGATGGCAATTGGACAGCTTCCGCTAACGACTCTCAACTCCGTCATTGCCGTCACCGCCCTCGCGGCTGATTTATTGCCCGACCTTCCTACTCCATCGGTGACGTCTGTCGGTATGAGCGTGGCATGTATGAATCTCACGGGGACTTGGTTCGGGGCGATGCCCGTTTGTCATGGCGCGGGTGGTCTAGCGGCTCAATATCGATTCGGTGCCCGATCCGGTGCGAGCATCATCTTCCTGGGGATTGTCAAAATGGTTCTCGGACTCGTCTTTGGCGAGACACTGATTGATCTGCTGAAATCATACCCAAAAAGCATTCTTGGGATCATGGTGCTCGCCGCTGGGTTAGAATTGGCCAAGGTAGGTCATTCGCTTAACAAGGGAGCCCCCGACTTATGGGAGAACGCAGCCAGTGATTCTTTTGCTGGCCGTGTCGGCAGGATCCATCGAGACTTGGGCGATGAAGAACGACTGGAGCGATGGACCGTCATGTTAATGACCACAGCAGGCATTTTGGCTTTTAAGAATGATGCGGTAGGCTTTGTAGCTGGCATGCTGTGTCACTGGGCTTATAAAGGATCAGAATGGTTCAACAAAAGGAATAGGAACCGTTTGCTTAGAGGAGAGAGAGCTCCTTTGCTCAGTTCATGATTCTGTACGTCTAGCCACATTACATCCCATATTTATTTGCTCTGCACATGATGCGCGTTACACCCTCCGCCCGCCTTCATCATCCCAATCATTTTGAAAAGATGTCCCTTCGCTAATCACGACCGGCCAAGCACTCAAGCCTTTGGAGAGTCGTAATGCGACCAATGTTCCTCTCTGACCCTCCTCAAAAACCTCTCAATAAGCACAAAAAGTCCAATGGCCACGCCTAGACAAGAACCCTCCACAATGGCGGTAATCTTTGCCGTCGGACTCCAAACCCCGTTCTGCTGCGAATAGACCCCCACCATGGTCGATACAAGACCGGCAAAACAGTTGGCAGTGCCGGGAATGAGCAATTTGGTCTGCAGCCAGACATAGTTATCCAAATGCTTGGAAGCGAGGAAGGCCATGCCGGCGACGGATGTTGCGCACGCAATGGCACCGATGACCAACAATGGGATGTTCTTGACGGACTTGACAATCATGCCGGCGGCTTGGTTCTCTAAGCTGTTGGAGTGGTTGTTCTCGACGGATTTTCGGATCGAGGTAAAGGTTCCCGGGAAGAACAAGAAGCCGCCGAGGAGGAGCCAGACGAACAAGGCGGCGAGGGCGTTGTGCAAGAAGGGTATGTCGTCCATTCCCAGGAGCATTTGGACATAGCGGGAATGCATCGTGTTGCTGCGTTGGCGCTGCAAGCGCTTGGCTTCCGAGTCGCGTTTAAAGCAGAGCATGTTGACGGGTTGTCGATAATGTACACGGAAATAAGTTGCTGGATTAAATCAATAGATGGCACAGCCGAAGAAAAGAAGACGAAAAAGAGAAGATGTGCCCGCGATATTAAGGACCGTATGAATCACACGCACAAGACAATGACAAAGGAAAAAAAAACATGTTTTGCTGAACACTTCATCAATTCTTACGGGGTGGGAGGGCATGAGCGCTTTATCTACGCGTATTCTTTCAGGTAAGATGCATCTCCTCGACTCACAAGGCGCTTAGTGATGCGGCTTGGAGTCATATTGGCCGTTTGGGTTATACCACGATTGTCACAGTAAGCGCTGGGGATGCGAGGTTGGGTAAAGGACGTTGGCGAGGAAGCAGAATGGATTGGCTGGGAGGTCTCGATGTTCGGCGGCGCAGACGGGTAGATCAACGAATCAGGAACTGAGGTGGGCTTGATGAAGGCCCTTTTTGGGTCATTGACGAGGTCGACGACTCCTTTGGCGACTGGACGGCGTTTCAGCATCTTTTTGTGTTTACAAGGCGTCCGGCGTGGATTGCCCCCCCTTTTTTTTTAAGAAGACGGTCAACCCTGGTCTAGGAGTAGCCGCGGCCGTGCGGTATAGATATCTTTGTATCTCCCTGGTGGTTGGTGGAAGGTGCCTTTGACATCGACCTGACGGAACCGACGGCGACACAAACGGGTGTGTTCAGAGTATACCAGACCTTGTATGTACTTGACAATAGCTGGGCCCGTGACTTTATTTTTCGGCACGTGCGCTTGATGCGCGGTGCCGGATAATGAAGAGAAGCAGAGATGAACAACAGGCAGATTCTGGGCTCCTTCCTTCAATGCTCGCAATTCAATCATGAACAACCAGGCAGGAGCAAGACCGCACGCAAGTTCAGAACACACAAGGCAACAAAAAGGTGGGTCACGGACGGCAGACTTGGTGAGGAGACAAACAAGCACCCAATCACAGCACGCCTTCCCGCCTAGTGGGTGAACATGAAGGAAGGGAAGGCCGCTCCTGCCATGCTGCCAAACATGCCACTACTACGGAGAGACAGCCGCTGCGGAGAGTTCATTGGGTCACGCTGCCAACCGCCTCCAGTTGATTAATTTTGCCCGAGACGTCAATCAACAACACCATCCACCACCGCGACCAACCCCGTCATCGCATACAGCTCTGCACAACCGCAACCGCCGGTCCTCTCAACGAGGCGAAGGAGCTGTCAGTCGAGCAGCGATGACTTCGTCTAGCGACGGCCGCAATGGCCCCGAGCAACCGCTGGATACGGACGCTTCCGCTTCCATGTCCGCAGTTGCGACCGTGACCGCGCCTGATGCCCTCGGCGAAACCACAACGACTGCGACTTCTGTCATCCCCGCGGCCGACGAGGCAACTCCTCAGGAGGCAGCTACTGCTACTGCTGCCACCACCACAGACGATTCCGCGCAGCCGGCCAAGGACCCCGTGTCGCCTTCAACCCCGAAGCGCAATGGTGACGCGACCAGCGCCACTGCACCACAAACCACCCCCGGGCCTGCCTTGGAAACCCCGATAAAAAACCCTAGCAACACTACCTTCGACCGGCCTGTGCCAGATGCTCCAAAGGATGCTGATGAGGACACTGAGATGTCTGGCCAAGCTCAAATCCAAGCAGAGTCTTCGCAGCAGCAAGAGCCGCAACCTCGATCTGAATCTCAACCTCAACCTCAACCTCAACCTCAACCGCAGCAGGAGCAGCAGCCTCCTCCTCCTCCTCCTCCTCCAAACGTGGCCAGTGTTGCTACTAGCGAACAGTTTCCTCCCTCTACACCCTTTACTCCCGCACAGATGGCGAATCTCGACCAGCATGCCTACATGATGATGGCTCTTGCGTCCATGTCTGGAGCCCAGAATGCCTTGTCTCCGCCGCCCACAGTTACGCCATCCCAGGTCACACTTCCGAATCTTCTCGATGCCGAAATGAACGGCACTGGGGCAGCGAGTGCTTTGCGCCAGGCCAACGCAGAAAAGGGTCTCGAGTCCTTTGCCCGCATCGAATTCGCAGACAGTGTCTTTCAGATGACAACCTATGCCGTGATTATTGGTCGTGACCAGCGAGCCTTGGAACAAGCACGGCGTGACGAGAAACGGGCAGACGAACACCAGCGCAGGGTAAAGGAAAATGCAAGCAAAGGTCTGCCGCCGCCATCACCCATTCGCCACGACCGAAGCAAGTTCAGTAAATCCTATGTCAGTGAGGAAGGTGGAATGCTGGGTCCAGAGTCTGATAGTGAGGGGAGTGGACGGCCGCCCAAGCGACGGAAAACGAGCACCAACGGGTCTTCACAGCCGGAAAATGAGGAATCGCAGGAGAACATCATCTCAAATCGCCAATATGTGTCACATACCCCTGGTGCGGCGGCTGTCGATCTAAGCTCCCTTCGGCCATCGCCTTACCACGTTCCGTTTATCGGCATTCACTCCCCGGGCCCAAACATTGCCGGCAAGACCAAAGCTATTTCTAGGGAGCATCTCAAGATTGCTTACAATCAGCAAGAGGGTGTTTTCGAGGCACATCCTCTACACAAGAATGGCTTCTTTTGCGAAGACGTACACTACAAGAGCGACAAGGTCGTGTTAAAATGTGGTGACCGGCTGCAGATCAAGGACGTTGACTTTCGGTTCATCATCAATGGCGTTGAGAAGGGACGAACTGGCGCAGAAGAGTATGTCGAGGAGGAGCCAGTGCCTAAGAAACGGCAGTCTCATGGCGGAAAGGAAATGAGCTTTGACTTTGAGCAATCACACGGTAATGGGGAGGTTCAGGATACTAGCGACGAACTGTCTGATGTCGAGATTAGCCCTCCGGCAATGTCTGAGGGGGAAGAAGGCGAAGATGAGGGCGATGGCGAAGAGGGCGAGGAAGGCGAGGAAGGCGAAGAGGGTGACGGCGTCGAGCCAGGAGATGACTCTGAACTGAAGAATGAGTCGACCGCGGAGCCCGATCTCGCACTACTACAGATACCCAAGAAGCGAGGGCCTGGAAGACCGCCCAAGAATGGCATCATGTCGAAACGAGAACAACGCCTACTCAGGAAGCAGCAGCAGGAGATGGCAAAGAAGACTCCTCCGCAAGCCCCTCCCGTCGAGCCACCAATCAAGCGCAAGGTTGGTCGACCAAGGAAGCACCCTTTGCCAGAAGATGGTGGCGAACGTCCAGAGAAACGCAAGTACAAACCGCGTAAACCCAAGGAAGAGTGCGGCGAAGGCTCAGATGCGGAGAGAAGAGCAAAGGAGAAGAAGGAGAAGAAGGCTCGACCCAAGTCGCCTCCCCTGGAGCTCAAGATTGAGGACTACACAGACGAGCAGCTCCAGAAGCCGAACAAGAATTACGGTGTCCTCATTGATGAGACTCTAACAGCCGCCGGTCCGGATGGCCTGACCTTGAAGCAGATTTACAAGAGGATATGTCAGAGATATCCCTGGTTCTACTTTCATACAGAGACAAAGGGCTGGGAGAGCAGCGTCAGACATAATCTTATTGGCAACGAAGCATTCAAGAAGGATGAGACAACCAACCTGTGGTCACGGGTCCCGGGCGTTGAGCTGGACGCAGGAAAGAAGCGCAAGGCCTCGTCCCCCGATAGAGTCCTGGCAGCTCAGGGATATGGACCTTATTCCTATCCTTACAACGCCGCTCAGCATATGCCTCCGGGAACCGCTACTGGCTATCCTCCGGGCCAAGCGCCCCCAGGGTACCAGGTCCCAGGATACCCAGCTCAGCCTGGCCAGGTACCTCGCCCTATGCAACCATACCCAGCCGCACCAGCCCAACCCGGGCCGCCCAATACCCTGCCAGCACCAGTGGCTGCACAAGCAGTTGCTCCAACACAGTTGCCCGGATATGGACCTCCGCCCGCGCCGGCGAGGGCACAGCCTGGTGGTGCTCAGCCAGGAGCATATAGTTCTCCTTATGCGTCAAGACCGCCTCCGCCCCCGTCGAGCGCCCCAGTCAAGACGGAACCAGGTCGAGCACAGCCCGGTGCGGTAGCAGCCGCGCCGGCGCAATTACCCCGACAAGTTACACCAGCTGCTGCGGCGGCTGCCATTGGTGGCAAAGCCGCACCCAGCCCGGCGGCTCCTCAACAAACGCCCACTCCAGGTAGTCGCCCAGCGGCAACGCCGCCTACCACTGGGCCTCCAAGATCCGTCATTGATCCTCGACTCCTAGCGGCTGTAGTCGGACTCAAGAATGGGCTTGTCGAGAACCTGAAGAAGGCGCGCAACCCCAAGGCTGAGGCAATCGTCATGTCCGCCTTGAATCGGTGTCTTGGTCTGAAGAAGGAAGCGACGGAAAACGACAAGATGGAGGCCATCTGCATCAGGGGCATTCATCAAGTGATTGATGGCTTCAACAAGAAGAGTCCGGCGTCAGGAGGGTCCACATCAACGGAAAGGCCGCCCATCCTCGATCCGAAGGTGCTCACCTCGTTGAACGGGTTCAAAGAGGTGTCCATCAGGGCCATCAAGAATCGACTGGGAGAAGCCCGCGCCGAGGTAGTGGCGCTTTCCGCCATCGACCGCGTCCTCGGCCTCGCTGACGCAAGCATCGTCCCCCCGAGCGGTGACGGCGAGTCGGCAGCAGCATCGAGCCTCAACCTCGAAGGCGTGGAGCAGCATCTGATGTCGTCTATCCGCCAGCTTCTCATAGGCATGAACCAGAAGATCAGGGAAGCGTAGAATTCTACTTGCAAGGTTCTCTTTTCTTTTTCTTTTTTTCTTTTTTTGTTGAAACCAACAAGTGCCGCCTGTGGCTTGTTTACGGCGTTGGGAATTCAAAGCATGGTGTTGGGAAATAAAAGGTCACGATGACTGTTTACACGAGACAACGACCCCAATTGTGTAATTTTCCTTGTCTGCAGGGTCGGCTTGTGGCCTTGCGGGCATGTTGATCTGTGCCTTGGTAGCGTGGCGGCGTAGTTGAATATAGTATTTACCGTGCGTGCTGGTCCCGTGGT